ATGAAAATTAAAATCATCACGTGTCACACACTAAATGCCGAAGGAGCAAAGTTCAAGAAAGAACAATTTTAACATAATAAAATTACAGATATTCTTAAAAACAATTATAATTATAACATGATAAAACAAAAAGCAGAAGACTTTCTTCCTCGTCTTCTTGTTTAACTTTTTTATAATTATATAAGAAAATATTTGTCTTTTCCCTTCATACCCCTCCTCCCAAGCACAATAACCCATTAAGCACTTAATTTTAATTTTTTTTTTTTTGTTATTTTCGGAACAGCTGATATATCCTATCTCAGAAAAAAAAAAAATGAAACTCCTCGGAGGCAAAAGGCGCGTTTCTATGTCTTCACTGTCCCAAAAATGTTGGTAGAGCACGCGCCACCCCTCTGGATAAAACCTCTTGTATTGGACGGCATTCTTTCTTCGTTATCTCCCCGCATTGTGTCTCACCGACTAACTCCGGCCATCCAACTTCTCAACCCCCACTATCGCTGGAACTCGTGCAGTACAATTGCTATGGCAGCACCCAAAGTTGATTCATCGGGCGAGTCATTGCCGGAACACGCCGCCGGGAAGTGGTACTCAGTACCAGATCTCCGACCCCGAGATCACCGTTTCACTGCTCCTCTGGATTACAGAGATCCCGCTACTTCCTTAAAGATCTCCATTTTCGCTCGGGAAGTCGTTGCTGGTACGGGGCCACCTCCTGCGATCAACTTAAAGTTGAATTATTTCTTTTAAATCACTGTTTAATGTTGAAATATCGCGGATTATGTTTTCTTTTCTCGAATTGGTCCCAGAATGTCGAAGTAGAAGTGCTAAAGTCAACCTAGCTTTACTTTTCCTTTTTCCAGGACATGTTAGGTTTTTCATTGTCCTAGTACTTGGAAATAATTGAATTCTTAATTGTACTTGGATACTGACTTGTCTATTCCGTTCATGCAGTTAGTATTTTTTCCAAAAAAAAAAAAAGAGTCTGCAAAAGAGGAATCTGAATTGAGGATTTTCAACATATGAAATGAGTAGAGTGGTAGTATATGTGCTGATTAAATGTAGAATTGTTTTGCAGTTGGTAAAGAAGATCAACCACTGCCATACCTCCTGTTTCTGCAAGGTGGACCGGGTTTTGAATCCCCGAGACCAACTGAAGGCAGTGGATGGATACTTAAAGCTTGCGAGGAGTTTCGTGTTATATTAATGGATCAGGCATGGTTTCCCTGAAGCTTTTTTGATGAAATGGAGTACTTGTGCTTGTTGTTATTGAGGGTTGGTGATGTGTTTTTTCTTGCAGAGAGGAACAGGATTATCAACTCCGCTGACAACATCGTCCATGCTGCAATTTAAGTCTGCCCGGGATTTGGCTGATTACTTGAAACATTTTCGTGCTGATAGTATAGCCAATGATGCTGAGTTTATCCGTGTTCGACTTGTTCCTGGTTCTGGACCTTGGACAGTTTTGGGCCAGGTATTAAATTTACCATTCAATTTTGACATTTTTGTTTGTGCATTTCACCATTTCAAATGAGGAGCGTCTAGTGATGATCAATTAATAAGTATGCATGCTGTGAGTTTATAACTTTTTGTGTTTTTACTCTTTTCTCACTCTTTCTGGCAGAGCTATGGAGGTTTTTGTGCTGTCACCTATTTGAGTTTTGCGCCACAAGGATTGAAACAAGTGCTTCTGACTGGAGGAATACCTCCAATTGGAGATGGATGCACTGCTGATACTGTTTATGGAGCTTGCTTTGAGCAGGTTGCTTATCAGAATGAAAAGTACTACAAGAGGTATCCTCAGGATATTGAAGTTGTTCGTGAAGTTGTAAACTATTTGGCAGAATCTGAAGGGGGTGGGGTGAGGCTTGTCTGCATTTGATCCTGGTTCTTTACTCAAAGCTGATATTTTAGTTAAATCTTTTTAATGGAAACTCCTTTTTGTGCAGGTTCCTCTTCCATCTGGGGGCATCTTGACCCCAAGGGGGCTGCAACTTCTTGGTCTTTCCGGTTTAGGATCTAGTGCAGGTTTTGAACGCCTTCATTATCTGTAAGCATCATAATTATGCACCTTTTTTCTCCTAAAAGCTCAGATTTCTGTGTTATGTCACGGCATCCACATCTTGTTGTAATCTCTTTAAAACAACTGTAGGTTTGACAAGTATGCATTATTACATAATAAGCATGACATGAAAATGCAACCCCTTAAACTAGATTCTATAACATCATGATAAGAGTTTATGGTGCATACTTAAATGAGGAAGAAGCATTTTCTCGTCCTGTTGAAATATTCTAGCAACTGACGAAGATAAACTCAAAGATTTTATCATCAAAATAATGAAATTTTGGGTCACAATTTAAGTATAAGACAGAAAGCAATATATGACAAACAATTTAAACAAAAGTTGGATGCAAACAAAATTTAACACTGGTTTTTGGTCCTTTCTATAAATCGTCAAACCATATACCTTCTTCCCACTGACTGCTAAGTTCTTGAGGCAGAATTACATACTATCATACCGTAGGAATTTCACCAACAAGAGTTTGGCTGAGTTAGTACCCACTAACTTAAAACCTTGATTTGGGATCAAGGTCAGCTTCGTATACCCATGTCCCTTTTTGTCACGATATGGCATAATTTTGACACTAAATGGACCAACCAAATAGCTTTGTATTTGTATACCCATTTCCCTTTTTGTCATGATATGGCATAAATTTGACAGCAAATGGACCAGCCCAAGTAGAAGCAAAAAATAGAAATTCTCATGGAACAAGATTCAAAAATTGACCTGTCCACTACAGTAAGGTCCAGCTCCAATACCAATTGTAGGAATCCGAAGGGCAGATGTGGCTGCAGCAGCCACGGGTGGCGGAACACATTCTAAAACAACCGAGAAACATCCAGCTTCCTGCAAAGCCAGTGCAGTCTCCACAACCTGCATGTACCAACAAAAATTAACAGTGCAACAGAACATAAACTCATGCAAGTACATAAATTAAAATTTAAAAAGAATGAGGAGACCTTGACAGCACTGGAGACATTTTTCCCTTGAGGCCTAAATCCCCCTAACACACTAATTGCCTGAGGAGTAAGTCCCACATGCCCCATGAC